GAGATTTACTGTAACTGAAAGTGGCCCGGGGCTTATGGCTTTCTTTTGAAGATGTCTTTAAGGGGATAAGGCTCAGCATCCCTCCACAGAACTTCATCAATACTTAAGCCTCTTTGCTTTTCTTTGATACTCCTTTTTTCTTTGATACTTTTTTCTCTCCCCCTTGTTCCACTTAGAAATGTTTTGGCTTTTTTTTTTTCTCCTCAGGTAAGCAAACTTGTATTATTTCATTGCACCACCTCCAAAATCTATAGTTTATGCCAGATCATTTCATTTGCCTAAACGGATGATATTTTGGAAGGAAAATGTTAAAATGGACACCTTTATTTTTCCTTTCCAGTTGTATATCCTTTCCTTGAACTGCCTGAAGGGAGGAGAAAGATCATGTGGTTTTAAAAATTAAAAAGAAGCAAAACTCTGTCAATATTTCAAAAATTGTCCTCACTGCAGTCATTCTGACCAAAATTCTTTGTCCTTTCTGTTACATTATGAGCACATGTAAACAATTCTTATCCATATCTATAAAGTAGCTTTACCAGTCCAGGATCTGAATGAAGGTATTCACCTGTTTAGTCACAAGAGGGAGCTGCTGTATCTGTCCATGGCATCCATAATCAGTTGGGAAAAGGCTGGTTGGCTCACATTCAATCTTGAAGTTATGCAGAAACGGTGACAAATGATATATTCTATTCTCTTTGCTATAAGCAGAACAGTCTGTGCACAGCTTCCAACATTGAATGATTCTTGGCCTTGTCCCAACCTATTATGAAAGGTCTTCTTTCCACTCAAAATAAGATGGCACAGAAGGAGGAAGACAGGAAGTGCCTATGCAGCTTTCAAGCTTAATCTATTTTTGTCATTTTTTTGTAGTGATGGAGAAAAGTACACTTTTTGTTTTGGTTGCAAAGGGAATTACTTTACTAAATCTATTTCAGTTCTCTTAAATGAGAGGAGGTAATAAGAAAATGTTCTTAAGGCTACTCCCTCCTTTTTTTTTTTTTTAAATCCTCAGCCGAGGATCTGTTTCCATTGATTTTTAGAGAGAGTGGAAGAGAGAGGGAAAGACAGAGAGAAACATCAATGTAAGAGAAACAAATTGATTGGTTGCCTCCTGCATGCACCTGACCAGGGTCCAGGCTGGGGAGGAGCCTACAACCGAGGTGCATGCCCTTAATTGGAATTGAACCCAGGATCCTTTGGTCCATAGGCTGATGCTCTATCCACTGAGCCAAACCAGCTAGGGCAGCTACTCCCTCCTTTTTTTCAATACCTTTCTTTTCCTCACTCCTTTCTCTTCCACTCTGTGTGTGAGACCACTAGGCACACATGGAGAATGTAGAAAGGTAGGCTATGGACAGGATTTGTGGAGTAAAAGGGTGAGTGCCATTTCAGGTCTCTGGTTTCTTCATACTAAGACATGAGTCTACTAATGCCTTCCTGGAAACACGTGATTCCTAGAGGCATTTTAGGATACCAGAGAATTCACAATTGGCTTTGATTGACTCTGACCTTAACCTTCCCAGTCACTTTCAGTACATCACCCCCTGCATCTGAGTTTCATTTGCTCCTTCTTGTCATTTAGATGGGCTTTCTCCATTTTCTCAGGACTATATGACACTTGGTGGTTTTGCTGGATGTAAAGAAAAAGCTGTTGAACTCCATGGAGCATCAGATCACCAATAACATATATTCTTTCTCTTGGGGCATGAAAAAGCAATAAGAAAAGGATTCTGGATGGATGCTGTCCTTATTTTCCTCTTTCAGACTCAGTCTCATAGAGTTTAAAACTAGTAAATTCTGCCCTAACCGGTTTGTCTCAGTGGGTAGAGCGTCGGCCTGTGGACTCAAGGGTCCCAGGTTCGATTCTTCTCAAGGGCATGTACCTTGGTTGCAGGCACATCCCCAGAAGGGAGTGTGCAGGAGGCAGCTGGTCGATGTTTCTCTCTCATCAATGTTTCCAACTCTCTATCCCTCTCCCTTCCTCTCTGTAAAAAATCAATAAAATATATTTTAAAAAAACAACTAGTAAATTCTCTCAAGGAACCCTGGGACTGAGAGTAGATGCCCGCTTCATCTTTTGATCAGGGACATAACTAAACCTGGGGAGACGTATCAACTAAGGAACTACCATCTCATTGGCTGACTCTAGGCCTGGGGACTCCTCAGCATGACAGCTGCCATGTGAGGGGATGCGCTAGCATCGTTGCAGCTGATATATCTGTTCTGTTACCTCCCCCAGGCCAGATTCAGACACAGAAGCTGAGCTATGTGCCCTGGACACTAGTGTCTGATTGAAATATAAGGCAGATGATGGAGGTGCCTGTGCTTCTGACTCTGGATGAGCCAGGAGCCTAAGAAAGAATGGTGTTTGAAACCAAGGAATCATAGCCCTGCTACCTCCATTTGCCTCACTGTCCTTCCTCCAAAATGCTTAGAGCAAGAGTTCAGACCATAGCTGAATACTTTGTGGAGAACACATTCTGAGTGTGAGGGGGGTATCCAGTATATTAGTCTTCTGGGACTGTCATAACAAGTACCAGAGATTAGCTTACTAACATTATAAATTGATTGCCTCACAGATCTGCAGGCTACAAGTCTGAAATCAAGGAATTGGCAGGGTTGGTTCCTTCTGAGGGCTGTGAGGAAAAGTTCTGTTCCAGGCTACTCTCCTTGGCTTGTAGAAAGACATCTTGTCCCTATGTCTCTTCGCATAACCTCCCCTATCTGTGTGTCCCTGTATCCAAATTTCCCTCTATAAGAACACCGGGCGTTTGGATTAAGGCTCATCCTAATGACTTCATTTTAACTTACTCCAGTAAAGACCTTATCTACAAATAAAATAACATTCTGAGGTACTGGAGGTTAGGGCTACAACATATGAATTTGATGGGGACACAATTCAATCGGTAACCCTCAGTGATCACAAAAGAGCTTTCCCTGTTATAAAGCATTTCTTATATTCATTGAGTCCAAGGGGGAATGGGAGAGAGCATGGAGTTCTGCCTCTTGATCAGTGAGTCTAGATAGTTATAGCCATATTTTGTTCTTTCTCCAGGATGAAAATGAGAGAAAGTTGAAATAGAGAATGGGATCCAGGGAGGAAAGTTCTAGAGGTACTGCATCTTGACCTTATAAATCTACCTTGGTCTGGAGACAATCTTATACATATATTTTCCCCCTCTTAGGAATTATGTGTAATGCTAAGGCCACACAGCCCAACTCCTTGAACAGACTGAAGGACAAGGGGTGAACATACCCTGTTCCCACTCCACCTTTGGGGGAAATGAGTACATCATCTGGTAATGACAGTTTTATAAGTAAGTAGGGCCCACAGTATTTGATTTGAGATTTAAAGAGCAATGTGATCAATGAAATGGCTTCTCTGCCCATAACTGTGAACAGAAAGTTCAGTAGTCTGATCCCACTGTGTATTACTGAACTGTGAGAGTCGCACACTGTCTCTTTCTGGTGGAGACGGGAAATCTCTATTCAAAGAGGACATTACACAGAAAATGTAAGTTTAATGCAATAAGGTGAAAAAAATAAGAAGGAAAGGAAAAATAAGAAAAAAAAATAAGGAAAAGGTACATGAAATCAAGAACTGGGCCAAGGAAGAAAAGCTGGGAAAAGGAGGAGTCTTACATGTCCTATCTCCACTCAAGCATTCTCATCCTTGTCTAAG